TCTCTGCTCTTCAACACTTTAAAAAGTTCCTGTGCAGCAGATTTGCCCAGTGCAATACGTCGTCTGATCTCTTGACTGCTACTTCAGCGAGTGTTGATAGTTGATCCAAGAAGAATAAAGTCCTTGACAACTTCAATCTTTTCTCCATTGATAAGAATGTTGTTTATTGGTCCAGTGGTGAGGATTTTTGTTTTTTTGTCCATAGCAGTATTAGTCACCAATAGATGAATACAACCCAAATGTCCATCACTCAATGAATGGATAAATAAATGTGGTATAGTCGTACAGGGAGCTCTGGTAGCGTAGTGGTTACGAATTGGGCTGTGAACCTTAAGGTCAGCAGCTCAAAACTATCAGCTGTTCCTGAGGAGAAAGATGGAGCTTTCTGGTCCCATAAAGATTTACAGCCTCGGAAACCTTGTACAGAGTCACTATGAGTCAGAACTGACTCCACAGCACGTAACCAGCAACCACCACAAGTCATACAATGTAAAAGAGCCCTGGTGGCCCCGTAGGATAAGCATTGGATGGACATCACAAGGTTGGTAATTTAAACCCACCAGTAATTCCAAGGTAGAAAGATGAGGCTTTCTGTTTCCATAAAGATTTACAGCCTCAGAAACCCAACATAGGGCAGGTATGAGTAAGAATAGACTCAATGACAGTGAGTTTGATTTTTTTTATTCATACAACTGAATATTATTCAGCCATAAAACGAATATAGTACTGATTGTTGTTAAGTGCATTCAAGGTGATTCCAACTCATAGTGACTATGTATAGGATTTCTGAGGAGTCCAGTGCATTATTCCACAGCGCCAAACCAGGACTCAAGTACTGATACACGCTACAAAATAAATGAACCTCAAAAACATTATGCTAAGTGAAAGAAGGCATAAAAGGTCATGCATTGTATTGTATGATTTCATTTATATTCAATGTCCAGAATAGACAAACCTATAGAGACAGAAAGTATATTAGTGCTTTCCAGAGGCTGGCGGGTGAGGAGAGGTAGATGTGAAGTGACTGCTAATGGAGTATGAAAATGTTCTGGAATTAAATAGTGGTAATGATTGCATAAGTTTGTGAATATACTAAAAATACCCACTTAATTATATACTTTAAAATGGGGTATTTTATGAAATATGAATTATATATAAAAATATGCTATTTTTTAAATGGCTATTAATTTCCCAAGGGAAAAAATTCATTTTGGTATATTTATTCCAGATCTATAAATCTGTAATTCCAAGTATTAATCAGAAATTAATCAATATGTAAAAAAGTATAAAACAACTACTAATTTTTAGAGCACTGCAGAGTGTTTATAAGCATAGTGCTGACAAACTTTTCCCCAAGTATGAGACTCTGATCTTTGGTTTACTTTCTAGTTCATTCCCTTAAAAACCTGAGAAGAGTCAACGTAAGGATGCCAATTGTGTCAATGGGCATATTACTAGAATGATAAATTTTATCTGCATGGGGAACAATCTTTGAACACAGTATAAATAAATAAATAAGCCAGCTATAAAAGTACATTATTAATAGTATAAAAATTGCCACACATTGGGTTGTTTTGAGTGCAATCACTCTTTTAATTAAGCATGTCCCTTGGGAGGGCATCCTGGAAGTTATGTTTTGACTCCTGGGAGTAGGGTGGTCCCTGAGCTCACTGGATATGTATGCCATTTCCTGACCCTAGAGTGGTATGGAAACTGTGAGAACTGTTCCCACTAAAGAGGAACACCTGCTGCTGCTCTGCTAGCAAGTTGCATTTCCATTGTTTAGTTCAACCTAAGAATAACCCTGGTTGGTGCTACAGTATCCTAATCTTTCTTTCTTACATGCATAGCAATGTATAGAGCACTTCTAATGAATGTTTGTGCAAAACAAAAACAGACATCATTTTCAATTAGCCAATATTCCCTTGGCATGACAAAATAAAACTTTAATGGGAAAGAAGGGAGTGACAAATAGATATAAGTGCCAAATGCTAAAACTTACCGCAAAACTACTTGTCTGTGAAGATGGAGTACTTGTTAACAGGCCTCTGCTTTTCTTATCAGGAACAGTGGAATTTGTTTTCTATAAATGTTTTGTGAGTAGCAGACCAAAATAAGCTACTTTAATACTGTAAAACTACAATTAAGAGTTAGTAGAAAAGATCATACTATGTCATACAAATAAATTTCTAAGCTACTAATTTAATTTTAGGTCAGACAGGTAACTAAAGAACATTTTAGCATGAGTTAATTTTTAAATTTCCGAAATAACGTAACAACTATATGAAAATATTGTGGTTGAAATAATTATTTAGGAAGAAAGCTATACAGAGCTTTGAATTAGGAAATAATGCCTTGGTTATCTCTGTTAATTGAGAAGAAAAGTACTTTACTTTTAATGTTTAATTTCTAGTAATCAATTATTATACGTTTATGAAAAATATTATAAACTATTTCTGAAACAGTTAAAACACACAAGGGTAAGACAAAAACACATCACCACTAGAGTTCCAGTTCATATATGCATGGGTTTATTCTAAAATAATGTGTTTAAACATGTCTGCAACCAGTGGAGGGTTGCAGGCAAATTCTCTCAGTACCACACTTCTCTTAGTCATCTTTGTTGTTGTTGTTGTTAAGTGCCATCGAGTTGGTTCCGACCCATAGAGACCCTGGATAGGGTTTCCAAGGAGCAGCTGGTGAACTTGAACCACCAACCTTGCAGTTCAAACGGCTTTGCAGTTTGGCGCGTTAACCCACAGCACCACACCAGGCATCTTAGGGTGCTTTAAAAAAATAAAATAAAAAGGTCCAATCAAAACAGTGGCTTCCAAGAGGATCTGCTGGCTCAGTTACATTCAAGGCAGTGGTGTTAGTTCAGAAAGTTATGACAACTATTTGGGGGTAGGTAATCTTGATAGAAGGAGTCCTGGTATGGCGCTGTGGGTTAATGCGCCAGACTGCAAAGCCCTTTGAACTGCAAGGTCGGCGGTTCAAGCTCACCAGCTGTTCCTCGGAAATCCTATGGGTTGGAATCAACTAAACAGCACTTAACAACAACAACAACAATCTTGGTAGATTGATAGCAATGAAAAAGGCTATGGGGCAAAAAAGTGTAATATCACTTGCATCTACTGACTTCTTTTTCTCATTGAAGATTTTATATCTTGCTCATAGCTTTGGTCTTGTTTCTGTTATTTTCAGCAATTTCATCACCTAAGTGACTAACCCATTCAATCACCTGGCCTCTCAGGTCCTTGAAAGCTGAATTTCTAACCTTTGGTCTTCATGCCATTTTAGTTAGCCACTTCATGATTAAACCTTAGCCCTTATCATCAAAAGAAACAATAGAAATTAAACATCAAAAGAAACTAATCACTGATTAGTTTCCAAGAGTCTTCCAATCCCTGCTAAAGAGTGTCCTTTCAAGTGGAGATTTCCCACATCAGAAAATACTTGATGGGGTTCAAGATTCCACCTATGGTTTTATGCAATGCTGAGACTCCACAGGAAGCCTTCTTCACTGGTCAAGTTGTAGCCTCATTTTAGGTATTCCAATCTATTACAGGCTGAAGACAGACTTAAAAGCTTTCTATGGTGATGTTTCTGTCTATTCCTTTCTCTTCCCCGCAAGTGTCTATTTTACAATAGTATGCAAGGGAAACCAACATTCAAAAGACAGTCAAGCATCTTAACATTATTTCCCACCTTTTACCTGTTCAAACCATGCCTCAATCCCTGTATCCGAGAGCCCTGTTGTTCCAAGATTGTGCAAACATCATTATTTACCTCTGTTTTACTTAGCTCATGCAAACCTGCCTGTTCTCCCATCTGCCTTGTTCTTCCATTCCCCTCCCCCATCTCGCGTACTGCCCCACTGCCAAACACTCAAACTATCCTGTGTCTATTCCCTACCCTGTGCTCCACCTTCTCCTCCCCTTACCCCACCCTATACATCCTGGTAACCAGCAAATAATTTTCCCATCCCTTTTAGTGTGGGTTCTTTTTCTTAGTCTTTTACAATAATGGTCCTAAGCAGTATTTTTCCTTTTGTGACTAATTTCACTCAGCATAATGTCCTCAAGGTTCATCCATGTTATGTGGAGGCTTGCAGCTATCTTGTTATTCTTCAAGGCAGCATAATATTCCATTGTGTGTTATGTACCACGGTTTATCCATCCTTCAATTGATGGGCACTTAGGCTGTCTCCATCTCTTTGCTATTGTGAATAGTGCTGCTGTGAACACTGCTGTGCATATACCTACTCATGTTATGGCTAGTATTTCTTGTGAGTAAATACCAAGTAGAGGAATTGCTGGATCATAAGGTATTTCTATTTCCAACCTTCTGAGGAAGCGCCATATTGCTTTCCAGAGTGGTTGGACAATTTTGCAATCCCACCAGCAATGTAGGAGCATCTCAGTCTCTCTGCATTCTCGCCAGCAATTATTGTCCTCTACTTTTTTGATCTTTGCTGTTATTGCTGGGGTGAGATGATATCTCATTGTTGTTTTGATTTGCATCTCTAATAACTAATGATTGGGAACATTTCTTCATGTTTGTTGGCTGCCCGGATCTCCTCCTTGGTGAAGTGTTGTTCATGTCCTGTGCCCATTTTTTAATTGGGCTATTTGTCTTTTTCTTGTAGAGGTGTTGTAGTTCCCTATAGATTTTAGAAATTAGTCCCTTGTCTGATATGTCGTTGCAAAATATTTTTTCCCATTCTGTGGTGAACATAAGTTTTTAATTTTTAGTATGTCCCAATCATCTATTTTGTCTACTTTTGTTTGTATAATTTTCAAAATGTTTGGTAGTCTGTGTATGTCCTGAATTAGAGCCCTCACATTTGTCCCTATTTTTTCATTGATGGCCTTTATAATTTTGGGACTCACATTTAGGTCTTTAATCCATGCTGAGTTGGTTTTTGTATAAGGTGTGAGGTAAAGGTCTCATTTCAATCTTTTGCATATCGCTTTCCAGTTCTGCCAGAACCATCTGTTGAAGAGACTATCCCCTCCCCATGCGATATATTTAGGCACTTTGTCAAAAATCAGTTGGCTGTATGTAGATTAGTTAATTTCTGGATTCTTGATCTTGTTCCATTGATCATTGTATCTTTCATTGTATCAGTACCAGGCTGTTTTGACCACTGTAGCCGTGTAATAAAATTTGTAATCAGGGAGTGAGAAGTTTCCAACCTTATTCTTCTACTTAAGTAGTGCTTTGCTTATCCTGGGACTCTTTCCTTTCCATATAAAGTTTATAATAGTTTTTTCCATCTCTTTAAAGAGTGTCGTTGGAATCTGAATTGGGATTGCATTATATGTGTAAATTGCTTTGGGCAGTATTGACATTTTCACAATATTAAGTCTTCCTACCCAGGTATATTTTTCCAATTTTGTAAGTCTCTTTTGTTTTTTTGTAATAGTATTTTTTTTTTTTCTATTTATTTTTTTTAAGGTTTTTGTTGTGGATTGAGTGAAAGTTTACAGGGCATATCATCAGTTTTACATTCAACAAATCATATGCCTTGTTTCATTACATTGATTATAATCCCCTTGATGTACCATCAGTATTTTTCTCTAACCACTTTGTTGTTGTTGTTATGTGCCATCGAGTCGGTTCCGACCCATAGCGGTAGCTTTTTAAAAAACACACAAACAAAAAATCCCACTCAGGCATATATGATAATTTACATCTCCAAAGGGCACATTCT